TCGCTCCCGGCGTCGACGCGCCCGGGTCCCTGTCGGGGAATGAGGTGCCGGGCTTGCTGCGCTCCGAGAGGGACCCGAGGCGGCGGCCCGGCCCAGCCGCACACCCCGGCGCGGGGCTCGGCTTTGCCCCTCAATGCTCCTCGGTGGCTTCCTCTGAGGCATCGTAGCGCTATGGCCGTTTTTCTGGTAATTCCGCGTGACGGCGCTTCGGTGAGGCCTTAGTTGCCGACCTTGTGGGAAGGCCGGATCTCAGTGCCGTCAAGGGAAATACTCCGCTTTTTTCTTAGATTGTGTAAAGATAAGCTTTACTTGAAAAAAAAAAAAAAAATTGGGGGCAGGCCTGTTAGCTCGGTGGGTTCGAGTGTGGTGCTGATAACGCAAGAGTTCCATTTCTGTATGTGCCAGCCTCCCCTCCCCCCGCCGTCAGTGTGCTCTGAAGAATAAGAGGACTTCAGAAAGTTCGGGAAAATAACACAAAGGTCGAGGGTTCGGATCCCCTTACTGGCCAGCCACCAAAAAAAAAAAAAAAAAAAAAAAAAAAAGTTCTTGGAAAAATCGAATGAAAAGAGGAGAGAAATACAAACTATTTCTCAACATGAGCTCCATCAAGTTCAAGACACTGTTGTAAGGGATGATACCAGCCATTTAGTTCCCTCTAGAGAACTGAGCGTCCGGGGAATTTAACTATGTCAATGCAGCTTTTTTCGGTTGTTAACTAAAGGAAAATGGGTCCCCTTTAAAGGTTAGGAAACAAAAAAGAAGTCAGAGCCAAACAAGAACTGTAAAGTGGAGGCCTAATGATCTCCTGTTGAAACTCTTGCAAAATTGCCCTCGTTTGATGAGAGGAATGAGCAGGAGCATCGTCATGGTGGAGAAGAACTCTATGGTGAAGCTTTCCCAAGCATTTTTCGCCTAAGGCTTTGGCTAACTTACTCAAAACACCATGGTCGTAATAAGCAGATGTTATTGTTCTTTGACTTCCAGAAAGTCAACAAGCAAAATGCCTTGAGCATCCCAGAAACCTGTTGCTGTGACCTTTGCTCTTGACCAATCCACTTTTTCTTTGACTGGACCACTTCCACCTCTTTGTGTTTTGTCTTCAGGAATGTACTGGTAAAGCCATGTTTCATCTCCTGTTACAATTTTTTAAAGAAATGATTCAGGATCTTGATCCCACTTTAACATTTCCTCCTGCTCTTGTCTGCAGCGGATCTGGGTGCAAAAACTTCGGCACCCATTGAGCAGAAAGTTTGCTCTACTGTAATTTTTCAGTCAGAATTTTGTAAGCTGAAGCAGTTGAGATGTGTATGGTGTTGGCTATTGTTTCTGCTCTTCATGGTCCATCCTCTTCAATTATGGCACAAATAAGATTAATCATTTCCTTGCAAGTTGATATGGATGGTGTGCTTCTGCAGACTTCTCTTCAACATCTCATTCCTTCTTAAAATGAGTTATTTGTAAACTGCTGATTTCTTTGAGGCATCATCACCATAAACTTAGGGTAAAGCATCAAAAATTTCACCATTCTCCCACCCAAGTTTCACCATAAATTTGATGTTTGTTCTTGCTTTAATTTTAGCAGAATTCGTGTTTCTCCTGTAGGGGCTATTTTCAAACTGATGTCTTATTCTTCTTAGTGCCTCAAACTGGATCCTATTCAAACATGTTATAACAAGTTAGTACGAGTTTAAAAAGTTCTGTGCAAAAAAAATTTTGCAAGTGCAAACATATTTTGCAAGCCTTGCATTGTTTTTTCATAATATGTATTTTCCATGAACCTTTTGAAGATTCCTTGTAAATTTAAATCCGTGAGGTTCTGTGGGGCAATGGTCTTAGAATAATAAACAACATATAAAGTACTGGCTATTGCCAGGCACTGTTTTGAGGGCTTTACAAATATTAATTCATTAAATCTTCACAACAACTCCGGGAAGAAAATGTCATTATCCCCATTTCCAAGATGGGGAAACTTAGCACTTAGGGTAGAGAAAATGGCATTGCTGGAATCCAAACCCTGACAATCAGGAAGAATCTGTCCTTAACAATGTGGTCATACTAAAGGTGATTGAAAACACATTCCCAAAACTTTTGTACAATTCCTTATTCAGATCTTTTACTTCTGAAAATACATGAGAATCAAACTAATAATCTGTTTGACAGGCGGACAGTGGCTTTTCATATAGAGTCCAAAGGGAGTGTGGTGATACATGATAAAATTTATGATAGGACAGCAGCATCGCCACACCCAGGTGAGTAATTTATGTACAAAAGAACTGATTTAGAAAAAGTCTCTCTCAATTGTCTAGAGTTCTAGAGGAGCAGCAGAGGATACATCTTTTTAAGGATTTAAA